CAAATAAATCACACACAGAGGCTTATATGAACGCCTGGCCTTAGCCTGTTTCTTTTTTTTTCTTTTTCTTTTTCTTTTTTTTTTTTTATTAGCTTGTTTCTTGCCAGCTTTTCTTAAATTATCCTGACTACCCTTGGCCTCTGGGGTCTTATCTTTCTTAATTCTATATATGATTTTTTACTTCTTTCTCTGCGGCTTGCTGTGTGGCTGGCCCCTGATGTCCTCCTCTCCTTGTTCTCTTGCTCCTTGGTACTCCTTCTATTTAACCTCTCTGCCTGCCAGCCCTGCCTATCCTTGCTCCTGCCTCACTATTGGGCATTCAGCTCTTTATTGGGACCAACAGGTGTTTTAGACAGGCAAAGAATCACAGTTCCACAGTTGATCAAATGCAGCATAAACTAAAGCAACACGCTTGAAAATAATATTTCCCAACAGGGCTACATTGTGAGACACTTGGAGGCATTTTCTCTTTTGAGTCTCCCTCCTTTCAGATAACTCCAGCCTGTGTCAAACTGACACAGAACCAGCCAGCACCAGTCCCATGTCAGGACAGAGCCCTGCTGACTGAACCACCTTCTAAAGACTCTTCCATCACTCCGAGGGCTGAGCTGTGGGACACCAGCATGCAAACACAGCCGGGGTTGTGAGCAAGCACAGGAGTGGCGTGGCCCTGCTTGTCTGTAGGGAAAGGTTGTATTGACGTTTGGGGGGAACCTGCAGCGGTGGTGGTGGGGAGGACACAACAGGACTGGGAGGAGAGACAGAGCCAGTGGGCAGGGGACACATGGTTTGTGATCAGACACAAACCATTGCGGAAAGGAGAAATTGGCTTCTGCCTGGAGCCAGTGGCAGAGCCTTGGTCTAAAGGTCTAGCATGTGTTTGGGTGTCAGGAGCCTGATGCACAGCACTGTCCCTGGAAAGGAAGCAAGGGATGATGCTACGAAACAGGTGTGCCCTTGCCAACAGAGAAGAGCTCTGTGGAGTCCGAGCCCGAAGAGCTGTCACTCCCTGCCTTTCCCACGAGTGCCTGTGCTGAAGGGAGAGTAAGATCATATATACTCCACATCTTAGGAGTGAGACGTTGCTGCCCTAAGGAGAACCAGACTGAGTATCCCTTCTGTGGCTCCAGCCTGGCCAACCAAGGCCCATGACCTTGATGCGACTAGACCATGAGACACCCATATTCAACACAAACTGTCCTGTCTGGCTTCTACCTGAAGACCTCCTGGGAGTCTCGTCACTGAGCTGTACTGGATCAGGCCTGCCACTAGAACCTTCCCTTCGCCGGGCTCCAGCACCAGCACCAACACCAGCCCATGAACATTGTTAGGCAATAGAAGTCGTTAAGAAAACAAGCATTCCCTGCCCAGCCAGCTGCCCCCCCCCCCCCCCCCCCCGCTGTTCTACACCTCCTGCAAGCAGTGATGTCATACAAAACTGAAGCCCAAACCCTCATTCCTGGTGGACCAGAGAGCCAGCTGAGCCCCAGGCCCTGCCCTGCTGCCACCCACCCCCACCCCCAACCCCAGGGCAGAAGCAGAGGTGGCATCCACAGAGCTGTTCAGCCTTGCCAGTTCTGGGTCCTGAAGTAACTGCTTCACTGAGACTCTAGAAGGCCCGAACTTCCACACTCTAGTGTTCCAACTCCCTGAGGGCACCCCAGAGTTTAAGCAGGTCTGTGAGATCATGGAAGTCACTTCTCCCATTTCCTCACAGGGGATTGTGGATTGGTGGGAGACTTGGCAAAGGGTTGTCCTAAGGAAGTGGGAAGGGGCTTTATTCATTAGATGGTCCCTACTAATCCCACACAGTCCAGGTCCCTTCTTAGACTGACCCCATCTCAACCAGGGCAGCTGAAGCCAAAGAACTGGGAAACCTGAACTCCCTGGGAACAGGACACCTGCCCCTGCATTAGCTGCAGACAGAGTATAGATTTCTCAGGAGCAGATCCACAGGGGATTTGCTGAGAGGCATGGGAGGTGGGGGAGGAGGTTGGCAAGGGACATCTGGAGTGGCAGGAGGCCTGCTGATGGCTGCAGCAGACTGGAGGACGAGAACAGATGCTAGACAAGGGGCGTGACTAAGGAGATTGGGGAGAGCAGAAGGCTGAGCTCTGGAGCTGTGCTGTGAAGGGAGGTTACTGTTCCCAGAAAACCCAGCAACTGCCTCCAGTCTCCAGTGCATTTCCCCTGCATCATCTCCTGTAACACCTGCGTCTGCGTTACCCTCTGGATACAGCGCCACTGTACCATAAGTGAGCCAGGCAGGACCTGGAGATTGAAAGAACACACAAGAGACCTGGTTCATTCGAAAGGAGATCAGCCGAATGCCGTTTATTCAAACTTAGGGAAAACCTTAAATACCTAGCTGCTGCACAATGGAATACTCCCAGGCAGGTGGGAAATTACCACGCCCAAGGTGGAGTCAACAATGCCCTATAGCTAACCACCAGACAGGGCAGACGGAGCACAGGAACAAACAGGAAATGTTGGCTGGCCAGAGACTGTCCTCAAAATGAACCCTGGGAGCAAGGGTAGACCCATGGACCCTACAACCTCCCTCCTTGTAAGTCCCTCACTGTGAACTCAGTGACCAAGTGAGATCCTCCTGACAGGGACAAAGGCTGTGTGTCCAGGTGAGGCAGGCTAGAATCTGGAGAATTTCCACCACAACGCTCATGACCAGCAGAGGGCATCACCATCCCACAGGGAGGCACCCAGGACTACCCTTCCCCTGCTGGAGAATCCAAGGAGATAGCAGAGAAGCAGGGTGTGATCAGGCTCTCCCCCAGCTGTCAGGAGTCCTGGCTTCCCAAGCCCATCCTCTCTCAGGCTGCTGTTACAGGCAGGAGGGCTTGGACCACACTCATCTTTTCCAGAACGTGAGGCCCCATCCAGTTCTGAAATACTAGGATTTGAAGCCGGGCGATGGTGGCGCACGCCTTTAATCCCAGCACTCGGGAGGCAGAGGCAGGCGGATCTCTGTGAGTTCGAGACCAGCCTGGTCTACAAGAGCTAGTTCCAGGACAGGCTCCAAAGCCACAGAGAAACCCTGTCTCGAAAAACAAAAAAAACAAAACAAAAAAAAAAATACTAGGATTTGAGGTAACCATGTCAAGGACTTATAGAAATTGCCTTTTCTGGGTTCACACTTGCTCTGGGTTTTCTAGTACCTTCCTTCTCAGATGAGAACTTCAGTCCCCTGTGCTGGCTTCTCCCTGGAGGTCAGAGGCTGCCGGACTTGCACGAACTGGGACTGTGGGGAAGACTATCTGCTCTCCGTCAGTCGTAAGGTCTGTGTCTAAGGCTGTTAGACACAGATTCGTTAAGTAATCCTCTGGAGTAGGGAGGTGGCTCCTTCATAGAAGAGGTTGTGCAGGGTCCTCTTGGGGAGGGGCCTTTCATGGATAAGCACTGGAATGAATATGAAAGAAACTCTTGGGCCGTCTATCTTTGTAATTCCCCTCCCCCTCCCCCCGCTACAGATGTCGTCTGTCAGGAGCAGGCAACAGACGGTCCAGGGGTCCATCTGTGTTACTGTTCTCAATAGAGTCCCATGTTTCCCCACCGACACTCTCTTGGCCCCTCGACTGATTGCCACTTGGTGATAAAGGAAGGAGAAACACTAAGGTAGCTAGACCTCAGTTCTAAGCCACCCCTACTCCCAACCCCGTAGGCATCCTGCCATATGGACTTGTGCAATTTCTGAGTATGGAGGAACACCCCTCCTACCTCCCTCTTGTATGGTGTGGGGGCGCAGGGGTCTGGGGGTGGGCAAAACACAGGGAAATAGCCAGACTGCTGTACTGAAACAGGTAGAAGAAAGCCTTCCCCGGCCTCTGAGATATGGACTTCTGGCCTTTGCTCCCTCCTGCCCCCGGGTGGTATGTGGTATATGTCTTACATAGTGCGTGTGCACAGTACGCTGTCCCCTGCCGGACCAAGCGCCTCTGCCTCTGTTATACCAGGGCCCAGCCAGTTCCTGGTACGAAGCAGGGCCCACTGAAGTCAGAGGAGGTAGGCTGGAGCCCTAGATCCAGGCGGCCTTGTTCGGGACCTCAGCTTTGCCTCAGAGATCCTCCCTCCCCTGCAAGGTGCTTTCTGCCTGGGTGTCTCCTCCTCTGTCAGGGGTAACAGTTTACCTACTTCATAAGGTCGAAGTGCACATGTAGTGGCTCATCTCCGAATGTGGAACCGGCCCTCTCTGTGGTGGCTAGACACTGACCACTTTCCTCTCTCACTTCTTATTTGGGAGTTACACAGACGTGGGCTGGGTCATCGTCTCTCCTGCCCTCTAGCAGCCATGGCAACAAAGAGCACGAGGAATGGTGTCGAAGACAGGATTAGAGAATGGCTCAGCACCCGCCATGCCCCAGCTCTGAGCACCACTGAGGGAAGGGAGCCTGAACTCCAGCACCGGGAGGGGGGCTCTGAATTAAATCTACTTGCAGGTTTCCGCTGTCTCCCTTTCTCCCGGCTTTGGAAAGGAAGGAGAAACCCTCATCCCCTCACTCCCACTGCGAGGGGCTTCTGGGGTCAGTTCATAGATGTCTCCCCGTCCTTCTTCAGAAACCATAACCCTCCCCCTGCATGTCCCACCTCCAGGCTTCCCCACCGAGTCTGACCCCCCACCCTCCTTTCCCGGATTCCAAACCTTCCCTCAGCTTATTTACCACTTTTTACTGTGCCCGCATCTCCACGAACCACTAAAGCCATCGTTCATTCGCAAACTTCAAATCTCATCCAACAAGCATTCACAGACTGCTTCCAGGTAGCACGGATTGCCCAGATGTCCTGTCCCTTCTGCTGCCGGGGGTGACTAGGCTTACCCCCCCACTGAGTGCCCAAGTTCCCCAGAGTTTCCCGAGCCCGGCGGTCTTCGGCGCTGAGGGCGGGGCTCGCCTTAGCGGGTCCCCCACCCCCGGGGCGGTGCCTGCCTGTCGGGGGCGAGGCCATTGGAGGCCGCTCCCCACGCCTCCCGGGAGTCTATAAAGCAAGGCTACACGGGGCTAGCTCAGCTGGACTCCCCCAGCCAGCGCCAACACCGCAGAGCGGAGTGAGCGCAGCCTCCTAGGGGCGCGGGGCGCCGGAGCCATGACCCTCCGCCGACTCAGGAAGCTGCAGCAGAAGGAAGAGGCTGCAGCCACACCGGACCCTGCTGGTCCGGCTCCCGACTCGGAAGCAACTCCGACCCACTCGGGCCCCCCAGCCGCCGCCGCTCCGCCTGGAGCCCCGGGGGACGAGCTGTACGCCGCGCTGGAGGACTACCATCCTGCGGAGCTGTACCGCGCGCTCGCAGTGTCCGGGGGCACCCTGCCCCGCCGAAAGGTGCGTTCCCTAACCTACGCCCCTAGACTCAGAACCGCGTGTCAGCGCCAGGGCCACCCGCCTCGCTCGGCCCTGTCCTCAAAAGGCGCCCACTCCCGGCTCGGAAGGCTGTGGTCCCCGCCACCACGACGCCCCCAGTTGAGTTGGCTCTCCACTCCACTCCCCACGCGCGAACGCCCCATCTCCTCCCACTCTCCTGCTTTGACTCCGCCCCAGCACCCCCTTTCTCCTCCTGGCTCCACCTGGCTTTCTGCCGCCTCCCGCTCAGCCTGTCGGTGTCTAGAAGTCTAGAAACTCTCAGGACCCCCTCGCCGAGCACCTCTTGAAGTTGGAGCAAGAAGGGCTAGGGAAAGAACCCCGCCACTTGCTTCAGACAAGTTGAGGGTCCTGGAGCCCCGGGCGAGAGAGAAACTAATGGCTCCTTAGAAGTAGTGCTGCGAATTCCCGAGAACACCCCCTCCGCTAGGACGCCGGGCTTCCCGGGCTCAGGGCCTCACGCTTTGTCCCGCATCTAAGATGCGGGTTGTGAGAGCACCGCCCTCCTGACTTCAGCCAGGACCGGACGCGGTGGGAGAGGTCACAGGGCAGGAAGGATGCGGGCCGCACCCGCTCGCTGTCTGCGTGTCCTCCCCCCTCCCCTGTTAGTGAGACTGTTCCTCTGGCCTGGGAAGACCTGAGTGCTGAGACCACAGACCTAGGTTAGGGAGAAGGGATGGGTGGCCTTTCCACGCGGCCCCCTCCTTCTCTCCTGGTCCCTGGCTCCCCACTTCACACAATGAACAGCTTGTTGAGAATTTGCATTTTATGAAAATCGGGTTGAAAGACAAAGGGGTCTCTCTGTACTACCCAGTCCTTCCTCCTTGGCCTATTTGGGTACTGTCCCCACCCTGAGGCTAATCTTTGGTTCTGAAAGAGGGTCCCCTTCTCCTCCTAGCTTTGGGGCAGCTTGGGGGTTAGGGAGTGTTACCCAGAGCACAACCCAGGAAGGCCTCAAGCTGTTTTGGCACTTTGGGGGAAGGGCTGATCCCGGATGGGACTTCCTCCATCCTCCAAGAACTAACATCTTAGGAGGGACAGAGTTTGTTTTAGGCTCTCTGGGGCCCTGAAGAGTTGGGGGGGGGGTCTTCTCCAAAAAAGAAACCCCCGTTTCTCAACTATAGTGTGAGACAGATTTGACTCGAATTTTTTTATTTAGTTATATACTTTGTTAAAAACAATGCACGGCGATATCAAGAGACTCAGGTCTATCTGGAGGACACAGCCCGCTGCATCCACAGCCGGCCCCCAGGCAACCTGTTCTTAGGAGCTTTGGCACCTCTACCAGCCCTCCTGTCCGAGCTCCTGACTCTCTGCTTTCCCAGACTACTGTCTGTCTGAACCATTAATTGGACAGACCCAGCTGGCTGGAACCCTGGACTTATTAGGACCTTAAGTCTGGTGGCTTCTTACCCTTCTTTCTCTGCAACTAGGGGAAAGCTCCTACCTCAGCTTTTGGGGCCTGGAAGGCCTGGCCCATCAGACATGATCTCAGCAGTGAAGATCATTATAAAGTCACCCATCTAGAACCCAGAACAGTTGTGTCCTGGAGGTCCCAGGGTTGGTGTGAACTCCAGGAGGGGGAATAGTAGCCGCACTTGGCAGATAGTTACACCAGCACCAAAGCAGAGGGCAGGTTGGGAGGGAAGACTGGCAACAGGAAGTGGGGTGCTACACTCAGAACTGGGATTCAGGCCAGAGTCTCAGCACCTGCTCAAGGGCATCCCCACTTCTCACTGTCTTTTCTGGCCATTTTCCTACCCAGGGCTCAGGATTCCGGTGGAAGAATTTCAGCCAGAGCCCTGAACAGCAACGGTGAGTCACTCCCACCCAAAGCCCCTGCTGTGGTCCAGAAAAGTGAGTTGTTGGGGGAGGGGGAGCACCACACAGCAGCTCAACCCACTCCCCCTGGAAGGCATCTTCCATCCTTGAGCATCACTTCCCTGCTGGGATTGAGGGGCAGGTGGGGGTGTGGGCTGTATGAAGGGGCGGCAGAATAAGGGGGGGCACTTTTGAGTCATTAGGTGCTCCTTAACCACCCCCAATCTCTGTCAGTTGCCTCTTCCTGGATTAGTGAGAGGTGGCGGCTAGGAAGTAGGAGACACCGGGGGAGTATCCTAACTTGTCCTCTGTGGCTTCCCTAAGCCCACCCAACCCACCACAGTGGACCCAGACACTATATGACCAGATGTTTGAGTCTGACACCCCAAACCTTTAGTCTCGTGTGGGTCCCATCCCGTGGTCTCATCCCATGGCTGCACTTGGTTTGAGATGTGCAAGGTCTCGGTGCTTACCCCAGGACCCGAAGCTTAGGTTCTCTTTAGCCCGTGTCTCATGCCTGATTTGGACCTGGCTTCCCTTGAAATGGGCCAGCAAACTGTGGCCTACTGGACAAACTTAGTTTAATTTTTTTGGTTTTATTTTTCTTTTTTATTTGTTGTTTTCTTTCTTTTTTCTTTTTTCTTTTCTTTTGAGACAGGGTCTCTCTGCAGACCCCTGGCTGTAGACCAGGATGGCTTTAAACTCACAGAGATCCTCCTGCCTCCACCTCCCCCGTGCTTAAAGGTGTGCACCACCATGGCCAGCATATTTTAATATTTTAAAGGGTTGTAAAACAAACCCTTACGACAGAAGCCATATGGGCCACAAAACCTAAACTATTTACCATCTGGCTCTTTGTAGTGAAGTCCACAGACCCTGCCAGGGGCCCAGAAAGCACTGGGACAGACACAGCGCTTCCAGCCTCCCTGCTCCTGCCCCAGAAAACACAGGGCTAAAAGCTCCTTGTGAAGAAGGGGGAGTGAGCTGCATTGGGTGGCAGGGGGTGTGACTCAGGCTAGGAGCTGGAGAGCTGGAGGCCGGCTCCAGAGCCTTTCTGAGGCTGCCAGACTTAAAGGGGCCTTAGGATCCACTTTATTCTGCCTCTGGCTGGCGGGAAGGAAGGGGAGGGGGTGGGCAGAGGAAACCCTGGACTCCCCCAGCAGGCCAGAATCTGGAGTGGTTCCAGACCATTGTGTCCAGCAGGCAGCCTTCAGTTCGGGAAGGGGTGGCCCCAGGCTCCCCTCCCCCAGCCTTCACATCTGGTGGGCTGGCCACACCACAGCTGGGAGGAGTGGCTGTGGTCTGCGCCCAGCCTCGTGACTGGCCCCCAGGGGGTGGGGCTGTCTTCTCCCCAAAGCAGCTGAGCTAGGATGCTCTTGCCCTGGGGCCAAATTGGGGACCTCAGTTACTGAGTTGAGTATGTGTCTGGGCTGCTGCTAGGTGGCCACCTTTCTCAGGGACAGCCTTTCCTGATGCCTCCCTCCTCCCCCTGTAGACAGCTGATTTAATTCTGTGCAGCCTTCCTGAGGCCAATTTCAGTTGGGTTTGGGAAGGGCATTCCAAAAATCTGTAAAGAATGAGCTGTCACTGGAGACTCTGGGTCCTCCTGGAATGTTCTAGATCAGCCTTCATCCTGGAGAGCTAAGCTGAGGGGCTACCACACTCTTGTTTTTGTTATTATATTTTGAGACAGAGCCTCACTATGTAGCTCAGACTCAAATAGAACATCCTCCTGTCTCAGTATCTCAAGTGCCAGAATTACAGATTCGGGTCACCATAGCTCTTCCATACTTTCCTGGGTTCTCGTAATCGTTACCCTGTATGTTCTGCAGGAAGGTGCTGACTTTGGAGAAAACGGACAACCAGACCTTCGGCTTCGAGATCCAGGTGGGAAAAACTGGGCATAGAGGGGTGAGGGGTCAGGAGGCCATTCTGAAGGCTGGGCAGATCTGTTTGCCTCTGTTCTGAGTGTCCTGTTGCTTGTTCACAGACTTACGGCCTTCACCACCGAGAGGAGCAGCGCGTAGAGATGGTGACCTTCGTCTGTCGAGTTCACGAGTCCAGCCCTGCCCAGCTGGCTGGGCTCACACCAGGTAGACCTTGAGCCCAGAACACAGGGCTCTGGGATCGTGGAGAACTTTACTCCTAAGAAGAGGCATTAATGCTGGGCGGTGGTGGCGCACGCCTTTAATCCCAGCACTCGGGAGGCAGAGGCAGGCGGATCTCTGTGAGTTCGAGACCAGCCTGGTCTACAAGAGCTAGTTCCAGGACAGGCTCCAAAACCACTGAGAAACCCTGTCTCGAAAAACCAAAAAAAAAAAAAAAAAAGAAGAGGCATTAATGTTTTTTTCTCCTTCATCCTCCAACTTGGAGAAGGCCAAAAAAACAAACAGAATCTGGTTTCAGACCCACTGGCTTTTTAGTGCGGGACCCATGGAGTTCCTGACAGACAGCAGTGTCGGGAGACGGTTCCCTGAGCCCAGAGCGGAGCCCAGGGAAGAGATGGTACTGCCGCACAGCTGTTAAGCTTCCTGGCAGCTGTGCGGCTCAGTTGGGCAGAGTCTGGTAGAGGAGCGATCTATCCAGGTCTTTCAAAATGGTCCATGAGACCACTCTTCCCTACTCCAGCTAGGCCCCAGGTGTTCTCTGGCCCTTACCTGCTTTCCCACATACCAGCAACACTTTGCTAGGTAGCTCCTGGTTGTCCTTGCTGTAGTCCCAGCCAGGATCCATATTGGTTTTTACAGATGGCAAACAGCACTTAAAGTCTCCAGCAAGCCCTGCCCAGGGTCAGGGCCTGACCTCCAAAAGTTGAAGCTTCACATGCCTGGAGCCGGTCCCAGCTCCCAGCTGGGCACTAATCCCATGCCTTCCCTGTACTGAAGGAGTCTAAGACAGGTCTCGGAGAAACAGATGTAGCTAACTCCAGGAGGAGCATGGGAATCTGGGAGGGCTCCTGTTGTGAGAGAGGGCTTCCTGAGGGTGTGTCTCACAATTTAGCTCTTCTCACATCCCCAGCGCTGAGCCTAGGTTTCTCTCTCCAACAATCTGGTGGTCTCTGTGCAGGGAGAAATGCTATGGTTTTGTATACTTTTGTTGTATTTTGAGACAGGGTTTTTCTGTGTAGCTCTGGCTGTCCTGGAACTTACTCTGTAGACCAGGCTGACCTTGAACTCACAGAGATCTGTCTGCCCCTGTCTCCTGGGTGCTGGGATTAAAGGTGTGCACCACCACCACCCAGCTAGGTTCTGTGTATTTTAATTGGGGTAAAAGAAATGCCCAGGTCCCCCACCATGCAGAAGGGAATTCAGGAATAGTTCTCTAGGTTACCATTCTGCCCTTCCTGGCAGGGGACACCATTGCCAGTGTCAACGGCCTCAATGTGGAAGGCATCCGGCACCGAGAGATTGTTGATATCATCAAGGCATCTGGCAACGTTCTCAGGTATTCATGTCTAGGTGCAGTGCCTAAGGGCTCCTGAGCGCAGCCTCGCGGTGTTCCCTCCGCCTTCAGGCTCGCTCAGCCTTTGTCCCCTCGATCCCTCAGACTGGAAACTCTGTATGGGACATCCATTCGGAAGGCAGAACTGGAGGCGCGCCTGCAGTACCTTAAGGTGAGGACCAAGCCAGGCCAGGTTCTACCCTACTTTTCCCATGTTCTGGCCTTCAGACCCACTCTGAAGGACTTCATCTTTCTCAGCCTCCCTCAGCCCTGGGACTTCTGTGCCTTCCTCTTTACCTATGTGTCCCCATATCCTACTGGTGTCTGCTAGTCCTGACAGTTGGCTGCATGTGTCTTACAGCAAACCCTGTATGAGAAGTGGGGAGAATACAGGTCGCTAATGGTTCAGGAGCAGCGGCTAGTGCATGGTGAGTATGTCGGATATCCTGACAGACGTCCCCATCAGTGCCCCCCCCCCCCACTTAGAACTAGCAGGCTGCTGGCTCCACAGTGAGAGGCAGAGGTACTGTTTCGGACACAGCATCATCCCAAACTGATACACCCAGTTTTGTTCTCGCTGTTGCTCTCTGGGCATCAGGGTTGAACACCGAGAGAGTTGTGATGTGACTTATTTTTTAAAAAAAAACAATTTCCCTTAATCCCAGCACCTGGGAGGCAGAGATGGTTCTCTTGAGAGTTTGAGGCCAGCCTGGTCTACATTAGTAAGTCCCAGGACTGCCAGGGCTATGTGGAGAGACTGTCTCCAAAAAAGAAGTCTGCGTGTGTCATTCCTTTCTGTGGTCTCCTTTTCTGTCCCAAAGTGGCACTCTTGAGTTTATTAACTCCAGCTTTAGAACCAGAAGGCTGAGACTCAAGGCAGGCCAACAGGAAAGAACTGGATATCCTGCCCATGCCCTCTGACCCTTAGCCTAGGGCACTCAGGATTCAGGAAGCTCCCTCGTCTTCTGTTGACACAGGCCTGGTGGTGAAGGACCCAAGCATCTATGACACACTGGAGTCCGTGCGCTCCTGCCTCTACGGCGCCGGCCTGCTCCCAGGCTCGCTGCCGTTTGGGCCTCTGCTCGCTGCGCCTGGGGGTCCCCGTGGGGGCGCCCGGCGGACCAAGGGGGACACCGACGACGCCGTATACCACACGTGCTTCTTCGGCGGCGCCGAACCGCAGGCGCTGCCACCCCCGCCGCCCCCCGCGCGCACGCCAGGCCCAGGCTCCGCCGAGGCCCCGGCGTCCGTGCTGTGTCCCGCTCCCCGCGCCACGCTCAGCCGCAGCGCCAGTGTGCGGTGCGCGGGCCCGGGCGGGGGTGGCGGCGCGGGCGCGCCGGGCGCGCTCTGGACTGAGGCCCGCGAGCAGGCCCTGTGCGGCGCCGGCCTACGCAAGACCAAGTACCGCAGCTTCCGCCGGCGGCTGCTCAAGTTCATCCCCGGACTCAACCGCTCCCTGGAGGAGGAGGAGAGCCAGCTGTAGGGGCGCGGTTGGGCAGGCGGGAGGTATTTATTTATTTATTCATTGTAACAGCAGTGCAAAAATGGGAGCAGTAGTGCCGGTCCAAGGACCTCAAGAGCCCAAAGCTGCGGGAGAGGGTCCTTGCTAGCTCTGGCAGGTCTGGTAGGTTCACGGCTTGTCTCAGCTGAGGAAAAAGGGAGCCTAGTTGCTTTCTTTCCTCCCCTACATCACCACAGGATCTCTGCAGGGGGAGAATAGACACTGGGAGTTGGGAGAGGTTTGAGGGACCAAAGAGGGCTGTGCAGCCTACAGTCTGGGCCAGTTGTGCCTTGTGGGGGCCTGTCCCAAAAGCCCTCTCCTCAGCTTTACTTGCTCCCCAGTTCTTATCCTTGGGGAGAGGAGATCGTGATGGATCATTCCCCACCCCGTACACACACACACACACATACACATCCAAGGGGGCAAGGTGCTGGGTCCCTCTCTCGAGTCTTGACCCTAAGGGCTTAACCCCTCTCCAGGGGCCTGTACTAAGTGGGTCCTGCCAGGCAGGGGTCCTGGGTTCTGCGCTCCTTGGGGAACAGGAAAGAGTACATTCAGGTGGGGTGGGGCAGTCTGGACTGTACCACCGTGTTTTTGTTGTTGTTGTTGTTGTTGTTGTTTTTGCATATGTTACTTCTAAACCACAAACTGTATAAAATTGATGGTATTTTGCATCTGTGTCAGCGTGGTAACTGCCTGTGGGGGAGGACTGTGCTTAGGCAAGCTCTGACTCCACCATGCAGCCCCCTCCAAACACACACAGGCTGCCTTTTACTTCTTTCTTTTAGCCTGAAGCCAGGGAAATTGTCTAGGGGATTTTAATGAACATGTACTGGCCTGAATTGAGCGCCACCCCCCCCCCACACACACACACACAACCCGAGCCTCCTGTTGGCGACCATTTTGAAGCTTTCCTCCCCAGAGCCTCACAGCAGACATAGGGGTCTCTTGTCTAGACTCCCTTACTATCTCTGTGGGAAAGCCTGGCTCACTTGGGGAGCACCTGAGGTTCACAGACAGCCACTGTCCACCCACCCTTTGACAGGTTCAGTCCCCTGTCCCCAGTCGGCCCATTCTTGTGAGCCATGAGCGTCTTATTTCTGGGCCCCTTACTGCTCTGGATGCTGGCTACAGACCTTCCTGGTCTCTCTCTGCATTTGATATTCCACAAGTGTCTCCTACCTCTCTAAGGCCTTCCCCTCAGTCACATGTGGCCACGCCCTCTGTGACGTCACCATCTGGAACTGTCTTGACTTTGTGGGTTTAGCCTTTGGCCTGCCCTCCCCACTCACAAGGTCGCTTACTTCTGGCAACAGAGCCCAGGGACTTTCTGCTTCATGTGCTGCCCAATCCTAGTACACAAGACCCTCAATACAGTGTGTTCCAGGTTAGCCCCAGAATGTCACCACGTGTCTTGAAACCTGCTGAGTGACAGACTTGGTAGTCACAAGGCAAGCTAACAGCAGAATAGGGCCTGGCACCTGAGACCCCTTCTCCATGTCAGTGGCCAGCATTCAACTGTAGCTTTGAGAGACGTGCCCTTCTCTTCCGTGTGTGGACATCATTTCTGCCCCCATTTTTAGGGTCACCCTTCACACAGCTATCAGGTGACCCTTCCAAAAGCAAGCCCAGAGATGGCACCTGAGCACTTGGGAGGTGGAGGCAGAAGGAGCAAAGATGTCAGGCAGCAAGTTAGGCCAGCCTGGGCTACATGAGTAGCCCTCGTTTCAAAATGGAAGAAATGCCTCAGCAGACAAAAGCACATGTTGTATATATAAATCTGATGACCTGAGTCTGATGCTCAGAACTGCAAAGAAAGAAAAAACCAACTCCTAAGAGTTGTTCTGTGGCACCACGTGGCTACTGTGGCATATGTCCAACTATTCTGAACACATAAATCACTCTCTCTCTCTCACACACACACTAAAATATACACATTTAATTTTTAAAAGCTTGTTTTGAAACTTTTGGAACAAGGTCTTTGTACATAACCCTGGCTGTCCTGGAACTTGCTATGTAGGCCAGGATCATTCACAGTGATCCTCCTGCCTCTGTCATGAGTGCTGAGATTACAGGCCTGTCTACCATGCTTGACACATAGATTTTTTTTCTTTATTTTTTTTGGGGGGGAGGACAGGTTTTGAGACAGGGTTTCTCTGTAGCTTTGGAGCCTGTCCTGTAACTTGTTCTGCAAACCAGGCTGGCCTTAAACTCATAGAGATCCACTTGCCTCTGCCTCCCGAGTGTTGGGATTAAAGGCAGGCACCACTGCCTGGGAAACTGTTTTCTTTTTTTTTTTCTTTTTTAATCAAATCTCAACTTCTCTGTCTGCTTGAAACCCATCATGGATTCCCCTGGGAGAAAGATATGAAGTTAGAACTTTCACCATGGCCTGCCATCACCTTGCTCTCAGCAGTCCCTCAGCCATTGGAAGCCTTGTGTAGGACACAAACCCATCCACACTTTATTGAAATGGCTTGCATTAGACCTTACGGAATCTTCTCTTTGCCTCTCTCTGCAACCTCAGATTCTTTCTCTGGTATTCAGACCAAACTATCTGCTCCTATCCCCAATTCTGCCAGCCTGTCTCTGGCCTCTGCCTATGCTGTTCCTCTGTCTATATTTTTCTGGATTGATTCCTTGTCCTGAGGTCCCAACTTAACAACACCCCCTCGAAGATTTTTCTGGGTCCCCTGGCATCAATCTCCATCCCCATTATTCTTTCTCTTAAGACATTTGTTTCCTTTGTGATATTTCTTCAGCTTGGTAGTCAATGCTGAATTCTTGTATTGATATTCTTATGTCTGTCTTGCCATTGTTGGGGCAGGTACAAAGCCTTAGTTAAAGTTGTACCTCAGGGTTGGGGTGTGGCTCAGTGCCAGAGACTTCATGTGTGAGGTCCTGGGTTCAGTCCCCATCGTGGCAGTAAATAATAAAGATGAAAACCAACTTGTGAGTCAGTTATTAAAGCTGCCCCCAAGGGCCTCATCCAAGGCCCACCCACCGCAAGTGCTTCATAAAAGCTCACGTGCCTTCTGGGACTACAGCTGGGTAAAGGGAAACTCTGCCTCTCCACCTGTGAGCCCCAGGGGTGGGGAGAGACGGCCCCTCCTCTGCTTCACCTGCAGCTGGCATCTATGGACTCCTCTAACAGTGTCCCTTTGGGGGTGGGCGGTGGCTGCCGTGGCGGCACCTGCACCTTGACATTGTGGTTTTCTCAGTTTGGGAAGGGAGGATGTTTGGTGAGGAAAACAGCTTTTCCACCCTCTTGTGTTTGAGCAGCTGCTCTGCTTTGAGGTTGAGCATCCCTAGCTCTCGGGTCTAGAGAGGGAGCCCTCTCACTTTTGTCCCCAGAGCCCAGGGCTGCCAGGAGGCCAGCTGTCTGGTACAGGTCAGCCCTTGATGACCTTACAGGTCTTCCTGGGTCTTCCTGGCTTCCTCCTCCTGACCCCACTCTCACCAGCCTGTCCTTACCTCCCAGCCACGCAGCTGGCCTCGGAGTGATGCCAGTGGCCCTTGCCCAGGCTGAAAGGGCTCCTACTCAGCTGGTCTTTTCCACCCAGGAGAGGGGGAGAGTGGTCCAGGGTGGGGCCAGATCCCACCTCTCAGCTGATGGATGACGGCACAAGCCTCCTGCCGTGTAGGTGGGTGACAGGGAGTGACTAATGTATGAGCTGTGTTGCTAAAAATTAACCCAGGGATCGTGTTTGGTGGAGGGGGTGGGGGTGTGTGGGAAAGGAGCAGGGATTGCAGCATTGTGTGGTCGGTATTCCCTGTCCTCCCTCCCTCCTCTTCCTACCAGCCTTCTGCTCTACCCCAGGCAAGAAGGAGCCCCCAGAAATTCCAGGGAGGAAAGTGGGCTTCGCTGAAGGTGTCACACAAGGCAGGAAAAGGTGCAGCCCTTCAGATGAGTTTCTGTCCGAGGTCCCCACAGAGTTGGGCCCCTGTCCTGTCTCCCCAGCATAACTTCTCATGCTTGGATCTCCTAGTCCTGCCCCCCCTCCAGCTTGAGCCAAAGAGGGGAGGCTTCCTGGAGGAGTGGCATAGAGGTCGGGGTAAAGAGATGGTAAGGAATGGGTTGAGTGTGTAAAACTGGTAAGACTTACTTGTGGGAGGAGGACGGGGTAGGGGAGGTAAACAAAAAGTGGCATTGACAGAGCAGGGTCTGAGATGCGTCAGATCACAGGAGGAAGGAAGGAGTCCAGTTAGGAGGGATCCAAGTTCCATGCGAATGAGAACATTCCTATTAAGGTAGGAAAGAGGGGTAGGCTCTTAAAACGTGGTTCAGAGGGCACGGAAAAGGGCCTTGGATATGGAAAAGGGCATTGTTGGCCCGTGTGAAATCATTTGCTGAAGAAGTGACTTCATAATACCTTAGGTCCCCCAGAAAACCACACCAGGGGCCCCAAGAGCAGAGGCCGCATCTAGAAGGTACTTTCTGCTCACCAAATGACGGGGGATGGAGTTGGAGAAATGAGAGACCTAAGGGATTCCCCAAGGTCAAGACAGACGTCAGGTTTTGTCTGGCTGGAGGCTGCCTAGTCCTGCATCAACGAGTGGATGAAATGACCTTAACGAGGAAATGACGAGCTCAGAGAGGCCACAAAGTTCTTGAACAAGAAGACTGAGATGAGACACTTGCTGCTCTCTGGTGGGGACCTGGGAATACTGCACCTCTAGGTCCTGCCCACACGTCCTCTGCTGTGGCCCCTCCACTGTCCGGTTCCACACTCCCAAGAATCATGAACCTTCCTTGTCCTCTAGCCTTTTGTTGGAATCACCCAGCTGTCCTCCTGTCTGGTCTCCCTGCTCAGGGCCTGGCACCCAGTGGGAAATCCAACAGTAGAGATGGGAGGTGGCTCTGATCCTGTGGAGGAACAGACAGTAAACATACTTGGATCCCACCAACATGGTTGGAGTCTGAGCGTTTCCAAATTCACTGGGCAGGAGGAGCTCTTGCTTGCCCACCTGCCAGACCCTGGAATTTCTACCAGAGAGACCACGCCTCCTGGAAGCTGGTCCTTCAAGAGAGAACATGCAAATTCATGCAAAAAGTAAAAGTGATACAAATGTTGCCTTTGAGTCTCTTTCCCGACAGCTCCTGTAGAGTCTATAAACTCACTCACCGATTGATTCCCTGTCCACTTGGCAAGCTTAGGGTGACAGCCCCCACCTACACAGCAAACAGTACTGTCTGGAATTCTCCAGATTCCTCTTTTATTGAAGGCCAGCTCAAACCCTACTTTCTCTGCTCAAACAAGCACCAGCTTGGCGGTTAAAGTGCGGCAGAGGACGTTGAAAGGCAGAGGACGTTGAACGGCACTTGTCGGCCCCTCCCCATCACCTTCCTTTAGCATTCTGGTCTAGGTGCTCAGGGTTGGACCAGGGCATTTGTGTTTTCAAAGTACCCCAAAACAGCAGAGCAGGAGGCACCTGTCCTTCCAGCTACTTGAGAGGCTGGCACAGCAGGATCCCAGGAGCATGGAAGTTTGAAGTCGGCTTGGGCAACATAGAAAGATCCCCAATGATGGAGGTGGAGAGGAGAAGGAGAAAGAACAGGGCCACTTATAATACCAGCACTCCAGAGGCTGAGGCAGGAGGATCTCAACTTTGCAATCAGCCCGAGCTGCATATTCAGATACTGTCTCAGAAAGCAAG